CGAGATAAATGATGACTTGTTGTCTATTATGTTGCTATATAGTCTACCGGCTAGTTATGATAATTTCAGAGTGGCGATCGAGTCGCGTGATGAACTCCCAGCCCCTGACGCCTTGAAGGTAAAAATTCTCGAAGAGAGTGAAGTTAGACGGCAGGCGAGTGTTGTTGAGGCTGCTAGCGCTCTCGCATTAAATCGTGGTAACGACAACAAGAAGCGACCAAGGAGGCGTAAAAGCAAGTTTATGAATAATGAAGCGAAGCCTGAAAACAAGTCAAAAATACTATGCTATACATGTGGATCTCCTGGACACAAGTCACCCGATTGCCCTAAAAAAAGGACATATCAGTCACGCGATAAACCGAAGCAGTCGGCTAACGCTATGGATGACTCCTATGCTGTATGCTCGATGGCTACTTCTAACCTGAATACATCGTTGCAGACATCCGAACTGTCATCGTCACATCCTTGGATTTTAGATAGCGGATGCACGTCTCATTTATGTGGTGACGAGAGCTGTTTCGATAGGTTAGAAAGAACAATCAGCGGGAAGTTGAAGCTAGCCAACAAAGCCTCGGCGGATGTTAAAGGCAAGGGCACGGTGAAAATGTCAGTAACAAATGGTGTGTCAGCAAGACAAGTCGAATTTAATAATACGCTATTTGTGCCGGATCTGCGAACCAATTTGGTCTCTGTTGCCAAAATAGCCGATAAAGGTCACGTTGTATCCTTCCACAAAGATTTTGCGACAGCTACAGATCAGTGTGGTCGAGTAAGGCTCACCGCAGACAGAAAGGGTGACCTGTATTACGTGCGAGAGGAAGATCAATATGCGGCTGCTTCTGTCACTAATGCTTCGGAATTGATGAAGTGGCATGAACGCCTTGGCCACCTAAATGTTAGAGATTTGCTCAAAATTGTTGGAGAGGTTAAGTTCAATAATGTAGATCGATGCTCTGAAGATGTATTACAGTGCGAGATATGTCTGAAAGGAAAAATGTCGACCTTGCCATTTTCAAAAGGTACCATGTACCGAGCTTTTGAAGATAGTTCATTCTGACGTGGTGGGACCTATTCGTGTGCAATCATCGAATGGAGCAAGATACTTTGTGACCTTTGTAGATGATGCGTCAAGGTGGTGTCAGGTTTACTTGCTGAGCCAGAAAAGCGGTGTCTTAGAAGCATTTAAGAGGTATAAGAGTCTCGTAGAAAATCAGACGGGTAAAAGGATCAAATGTCTTTAATCTGATAATGGTAGAGAATATTGTAATTGGGAGTTCGATTTACTAATGTCCAGTTACGGAATTGAACGTAGACTCACCGTTCCGCATACGCCTCAACAAAATGGCGTTGCTGAACGCATTAATCGAACTATATTGAAGATGGCAAGATGCCTCCTCTTGCAGTCTGGTCTATCTCTCACATTTTGGGCCGATGCTGTGGCGACAGCGTGCTATATACGTAATCGTTGTCCCACCAAACCATTAGGTGGAATCACACCATATGAGAAGTGGAATGGACAGACCCCTGCACTAGATCATTTGCGAGTCTTTGGATCTACTGTTTATGTCCTTGATAAAAACGAAGGTAAGGACAAATTTGTTGCCAGGACTAATAAAGGTGTTTTTGTAGGTTATCCTCGAGAGTCGCAGGGATATAGAATCTGGATTCCAGAGCTTCATAAGACAGTGATAGCCAGGGATGTCAAGTTTCTTGAGCGGACTGACACAGTCTTCGCTAATAATCAAGATGTTGAACTGCTTCAAAAGACCAAACCAGATTTGATTGCAGAGTCTCCTAAAACCCCTATTCCCACCGTGCAATTGGAACTTACATCCGAATCACTTTCGGACGGATCTGAGGAGATACCGGAGCAAGAAATTGATGATCAACCAGAAGAAGTTGCACCTCTTTTACGTGGGCGTGGCAGACCGAAAATCATACGCACAGGTGGGCGTGGACGTCCGAGAAAACAATATAACACTCGATCGATAGAGGCTGAAGATATTCCCGTAGAAATAATTAACGAGGAACTTGAAGACGACGTCTTTGCTGGAGTAGCAGAAGTTTCCGTCATACATGCAATGAATTCTGAGGAAAAAGAAGAATGGAACAATGCAATTCTATCTGAAGTACGAAGTCTTATTAAGAACGATACGTTTCAGGTAGTTACACAACGCGAAGGACAAAATGGTATAGGCAGCCGCATAGTCTTAACAATACTTTACTCCAACAGAACTTAAACATGGTTTGAAATGGGTTGATGTCACAGTTCAAGAAATGAAGAAAGTACTTGCTCTTATAATACTTATGACATTTGTTAAAAAGAATACATGATTATTCGACATTTCCACCTCTCGCGACTTTATTTTTTTAGCAAAATTATGAATAGAGACCGCTTGTTGCAAGTACTACCATGATCACAAAATAACCGGAATTTTTAATTTAAACCTCGCGGGCTTATCGGTTTAGAATTCTGTTGTTTGTGTCACGTTGGCAGCACTGTTACGGACACTCATGCCAAGCTTCTGCTTATCAGCTGTTCATTTACCTTTATGACAGTGATTTCTTTACATCAAGT